AATTGCTAAGATAATATATGTGCTTTTACTTGGCAATAAAGAGCATCTAGAAGATAAAGTCCACATTGATTTGCTGGGCTGGGGATGAGGCTTTGCCTGAAGCAGAGGAATTCAAGAATCTTGGAGTTTTGTTTATGATTGAAGGCAGGATGAAGCAGGTGATAGATCAACAAATAGGGGCCCCATATACAGTAATGAAGGCACTGCTCCAGGCTGGTGTGGTCAAATAAGAGCTGAGCCATAAGGCAAAGCTTTTAATTTACTGGTTCATATTTATTCCAACTTTCATCAATGGATCCTGACAACAAGAGCAAGACCCCAGATCTAAGCAGATGAAAAAAGCTTCCTACATAGGGTGGATGGGATCAACCTCAGAGATGAGATGAGGAGTACTGTCATCCAGTGGGAGCTTGAGATGCCTGTAAAACACCTCCCTCTGGAGGTTTTCCAGGTACAACACACAAGAAAAAGACCCTTAGATCCAAATTTTGCTGAAAGAATCATGTATCTTCTTGGCCGGAGAACATATTAGGGTTTTCCATGAGGAGCTGAATAGTGTCCCTGGGGAGAGGTACAGTTTGTCTGGATTTCCCTTGAGAATCTGTTATAGTCATGACCTGACTTATGACCTTAGCATAGGTGATGGATGGATGGATGGAGGGAGCATTGTTTTCTTTTTATAAGAGATATTCTCCAGTGAGTATTAAAAAGACAGAGCTAATTAACCCTGAAATCAGGGATTCTTTGGGATTTTCACCTCAGAAGGTGAGTTAAGTTAAACCCTGTCTTGCTGAATATTAATTTAAACTAAGGCAAGTGGTGCTATACACACTTCATAAAGAGTGTAAATGTAAAGCACCTTCATTTTGTCTCTCGAGCCTCAGCAAGCTGTGAAACGTCCTATCCCCTGTGCTCAAGAAATCGACTCAGGAGTTGTTGGTTCGTGCACGTATAATTCCACCGTGGGGAACAATAAAGAGGGAAGTAGCTCCCTTGTTAGCTATTACAAAATGAGCACTGTGTGCCAAATCTTACATCATGCTGGAAATGTAAAGGTTTAATGTTTGAGTTGTTTTGTGTTTGCAACAAAAACACCTACCTACTGCTGCGTGGAAGGCTTCTTGTCTCTCTTGAGGGTTGCTAATATTGTATGTGCAACACAAAACTGAGCTAGTGCCATCCATTAATTTAAATAAGTGCTGCCCTTTAGACCAATATATTTGCAGCATGTGTTTCACTAAACAACTGTTGACAAATTGTTTGCAGTGTTTAAGTTTCAAAATACAATATATCAGCATTGTTTGAAGTTGCTATTGTCATGACTATGAGTAAACCCATACATCAATACCTGTGTCAGCAGAGTCTCATTCCCCTAAAGCCTCCTTCACAATGGATGAAGATAAACATCAACATAAAATATCTCTCAGAATGTGGATGCTCCAGACATGTATTAAGAACACAGTGTGCTCTTCATAACACATGGTAGGTCCAAGTTGGTTTTAGAACATGTGCAAAACTTCTATAGCCAGATCATGGTGGTTTATCATTGTGGTGGCAGGGTATTGTGGTCCTGGGTGAGCAGTGTGGGAGAGTGGCAGCGGTGTAGCCATGACACAAGGTCGTGTCAACTGACCAGGTTGGCGAAACGTCTTCTGTTACAAATAAAGTCCAGTTGTTTTTGTATTGAACGCTTTTTGAATTCATCATGTCCTGGATGACTGAGAATCTTCACCAGCAGGTTGGCGTCATCGTCTGTAGGTCGTGACCTGATTTTGACAAGGTCATGGAAACCACCTATTGCAGATGTCCATAGCGGCGCGTCAGAGTGATGTATCTTCTAGCTGCTTCTTGGCACGTTCCCAAAAAGTCAAACCCTGAGGTAGAAGTCATCTTCTGCTTGAGCTGAACGGATATGTTGAATAAATGTGTAGGGGGCCATGACAACACCCTCATATAGCCCAGATTACTGTGCAAATCAGATAGTCTGCCATATCCAGGGACTGCTTCTTTAGATATTCATCTTGGTACAAAATAAATGGGGCGTTACAGTGATATAATTCTTTTCCTTGCTTCATTTGTGTTTTTAAATTATAGAGTAGAACGTCCCCTGTGGATCTGGTTGCCCTCTAATAGCCAATGCTATAACACAAACTGCAAGCGTGAGAAAATTATTATTATTATTATTACTGCAGGTGATCAGTAACTCAAACCCACTCCTTTCATTTTCACATTAATATTTTATTACTCCTCTGCTCTAAATTCTGGTTTTGTACTGTAAGAACTTTTGTCTTGCTGTTACAGTCTGGGAAAAAACAACCAGACCATTTCATTTTGTAAAAGGCAGCAGGATGGTTGTAACAATCTGAATCAGGACGAAGACGGATGCATGATGCATAAGAGTGAAGAGCTGATCAAATGTGATCAATTGTTATCACCCGCCACCATAGGTGGGGCGATAATGTTTTGTCCATGTGTGTGTGTGTGTTTGTCTCTTGGTATCATTAGCAACATGTATGCTGACAGAATGCAGACAGAATTAAATGAAATTTAAAAGAAAGTGCTCTGTCCAGTTCAAGATGGTTGCCACAAGTAATTGACCTTAACTGAACTGTGAAAACAAGTAAACCCTAATGATTTGGTGCAAGATTTTTATTTGTCCCAGAGTGTTGAATCTTGGCGAGTGGAGGGAGCAATTTTATCTACCAACACACAATGGCAGCGCCAGGGGGTGGCCAATGGTGGCTATGGCCACCATAGGTTAATCTTCTGCCACCTCATTTGAGGAAAATATAATTTTGAGCAATATACAGTAAAAACTAGAAAGCATACAAGTAGTTTCCTCAAATGTTAGGGATGGTCGAATGGCAGTGGCCAGCTTGAGTTTTGAAGTTTCAAACCAATTTTTGATAGTGACCTTTCTTTCGCCGATGAAGCCACACTAAATGGAAGTTAGCACGTAGTTTATTTTTGACCCAATTATTTGAGGAAACTACTTTTCAGCAAAAAGAAAAGTTTCCTCAAATGATTGGAGTTGGTGGTTTACACACACACACACACACACACACACACACACACACATATATATATATATATATATATATATATATATATTTACTTTCAGCCATGTTTCAGTGAAACAGTTCTGCACAATACTTACATGACTAACCCCAACCCCGTCATATTTGGCAGCACTAAGTCCTCAGATGTTAAACTGATATTTGTTGGTAAAGTCTTAAATGGATGAACCACGTTTGTCCACATAAACTACAAAACTTGACTTGCTTCATCTAGTTTTGTAGTTTATGTAGACTTGGGTTTCAAGTTTGAATCTATGAGTGTTTTGGTAAGGAGGCCTTACCGTGCAACATAAACAGATTATTAAAAGCCAGTATAGATCCAGTGAACACATTTAAAGCCCTCAGTGTTGCTTAGATGCTGCAGGCTAGGTTTGATTTAGTCCAGTTCCAGCAGGATCTGGCTCAAATTAAGCTCAGCCTGTTGGTCATTTTGAGACTTTTTTTGTTTTTCTGATAAGCAACCAATCCTGTAAAAACTCTGTACCAGAGCTCCCTGTTGATCTGGCTTTAATCCTCATAACAAATCATACTTTGTGGCATCTACCTGATAATTTAATCTGTGTTTCCTGACTATAGATGTGGAAATAAACATATAAAGACACAGTAAGACGTAGTAGTTTTTGAAGAATATGGTGCCCGGTCAAGTCAAACTTATAAAACTTGAGGAGAAAAAGAGCAGACTCTCACTGTACACAATTCATTTTGTTGTAATTTTCTTGAAGTGCTGATTGGTTGAAAAGATCTCCTTTTCTGTGTGTTAACCTCAACTCTAGACCTACATTGCTCCTGAGCAGAGGGCAGGACTACAAAAGCCAGTGAAATGACGAAGCTTGCTATGGTCAGCTGAAGGTCAGTTTTCTGTAACCCACAGGAGGCTATCTTTAGAGCACGGTGGTAACATGGCTGAAACTATCACCTGCTGAGATCTCGTTTTCATTACCTCACGATTCTCAGCATCTGAAACATTAGAAACACAGTAGTAGTCCCTCACTACTTCACGGTTCGTTGTTCGTAGACTCGCTCTATCGTGGTTTTTCAAAACAAGATTGAACATGACACACAGTGGACTGACTGATGGATGAGCCGCACGGTCGGCATGACATTTTTATTTAAAACACATTATTTTAAATTATTTGGCACCTGCTGCACCTGTGTGCAGCCCACAGCTGCAGGAGATGCTTCTTTCTGCAGCACGTCATATCTCCGCTCTGCAGCGGAGAAGTGGGCGTGGCCGAGAGCGCTGGCAGAGAGTAGCCGAGGCAGAGAGCTGAGATCATGACATGCTGTGCTCTTTTAGAGCGTTTAGAGTTTAGAAACATTGTTTAGAATATTACAAGAGTGTGGGAAGGGTTTAAAACACCTTTATATAGCTATATAAATACTAAAATAAACTACTACTTGTACTACTGTATTCCTAATTCACAGCTTTTTCACTTGTCGCGGGGCTTCAGGGTATGGATCCCCCGCGATAAACGAGGGACTACTGTAAGAACTTAAATCCTGAATGTTTGACTGAATGTAACCTTAACCCTCCTGCTGGCCTTGGGTCAAAATGATCCAGAGGTCTCCTTTCATGGGGTCATTTTGACCCAAGGCCAGCAGGGGTGCTAACTGGTATCACTGGTTACAACATTCACTGCACATACAAACTGTTGTTTTGATCAGTGTGTACTGCAGCTATACTCATAGACACACACACAAATCAGTTTGTTACTGTAAAGATCAGGTTCACAGCTTACAAGCTCCCGTTTTAAGAAGTCAGTAAAAAATAAAATCTTACCCAAAACAGACTTCAAAAAATGTAAAATTAGAAAAGCACACATTTATTTTTCCCTGATTAGAACTGTTTTCCTGACATTAAAGGGAAAATAAACATTAACTTTGATCAGTCAAGAACAATGCAACGTGTCTCTTTTTAAAACGGTATATAACGTGATTATAATTAAGATAGTAATAAATTGTCTTTTGTTTGCTCAACAAGTGCATTTTTGACTTTTGAAATCAATCGCTCCAGTTGCCGTCACTGTGTCACATCCTTGTTTTTAGTGCCTGGAGGATGTCAGAGCCACTGCTCCAAACAATCACCTCAGCTCCAACAGAGGGGTCGCCTTCTTGTGTTTTTAGTTTGGCCAGCAGTTTTTCCAGAGTGTACCCCTTCCTGGGCATCACTACATCACGCTCTCTCAGAAAGGAGGTAGGGCAGAGATCGTTGCCTCCATCTCCAACGTAAATGACCCGCTCGTACGGCGTGCCACTCTCAGTCTGATCAGAAACATAGAGCTCCAGGACCCTCCTCTTGCAGAGGTTGACGGGACATTTATCGCAGTCGTGGGAGTGATAGCACTCCACCTCCATGAACCCGGACTCGTTAAACCAAGCCGGGTTGGTAAAAACCAGGTCCACGGCTTCTTGGAGTCCCGTTGCCTTCAAGATCCAGTCTATAAAGATGCTGTTGGAGTCAGAGATGACAATACAGTCGATGGTGGATTTATTTTTTGAAATAAATGTCAGCAATTCTGCCATTCCACTGGTTAAGGGGATGGTCTCCATCACACCGCGGACCCTTTCAGGACTGATCCCCTGGTCTCCTGTTTGAATCAATGAAACAGGATCAGAGCTGAAGGTTGAGGAGGTTGAAAGAAGCAATAAAAAGCTAGAAAAACAATATACTGATCTCTAACCTATGTAGCTCATCACCCTGCCCATGTGCTCAGTCCAGTGGCCCTTTCTGTACGAGTTCTTCAGACAGTCTGGAAGAGTCTGACCTGGAAGGCATCTGAAGACAGGAAACAACACAACATTTGGTTATGTTTACTGAACATGAAAGATCTTGAGCTCTGGTATTTCCTGGCTTGTAATTGAACTATTATTACATACTTGAGCACCCAGGTGTCACTGTTGTCATCAACCACAGTGTGGTCAAAATCTAAAACCACCAAAATCGTCATTTTCTCACCTGAAAAAAAGAAAGGAGCAGTTTTAAATTACTCGTTTGAAAAACGGAAAAATATCTTCAATTTGGACATTTTTGGCATGTGAATTATGTGTCACCAAATAATAATTATATTAAACACTTTCGCTTTTTATTTACTGCCGATTTAACCATAGCATCTAAATTAATAATTTACATGTTTTAGTTTTTTTATAAATCCACATAAAATACGTGAAGAGATGCAATCTCTTTAATTGTAGTTATTTTTACATAGAGTTTGGTGTAATCCCGTCAACGGTAGAGGCCCGGCTAAATATACAACACTTCATTACATTGCTTCCAAACGGGGTTGAAACGAAACAGAGAAGGCGACACTGATTTCTGGCGCAGATTGTTTATGAGCTAATTCACACAAATCAAAAACAGTAAAATATTTTTAAAAGAAACGAAACTCACCCGAATCTGTCTATCATCAGCCTACGGCGGCTGCTATGCTGAAAGATAATACGATTACCTCATTACCGCCACCTGCTGGGCGTCCTGCGAAGTTTAAGATTAAAATATACATAAATGCACTTATCTAACGTCCACTATAACAACATAACTCATATAAATGTGTGTTATACTGTTCATATCCTTATGTAGGATTTTTTTCTGTGATAATATCACATTTTTGACCATCTTTTTAAAAATGAATTACCTCAGTGTGACCGCCAGGTGACGATATGACGCAACTCCCACAAAGCACGGAGCGTAGAAGAAGTCCTGTTGGTTCATTTCCTGGTTACGCAAAATAAATCCCCAGCTGTTTAGTTTGGTGTTTTTCTGTTGTCAGCCCCTCTCTGGAGAGTTTATCGTTTTGTCTGCCAGCATGTTTAAAGGCTTGGGGACGTGGCTGGGTTTGGAGAAGCCGTCGGATGAGAAGGAAAGCCTGAATGTGGAGCAGGAAGAGAAGGTGGTGGAAGCCCAAAATGAGGTAAACAAACAGCAACCAGCTGACCAAGATCATCATGGAGAAGCAGAGACGAAGCAGGAAACTCCGGAGCAGAGACCAGGTTTCGGTGGTGAGGAAACAATAATTTATCAGTTCTTCAATCTGTGGCCTTAAAGCGTTAGAGTTGTTATTGTGGTAAATTAAGCTAGTTTTGGATGTTAAGTCAAAATATTTGAGAGGTCTGACTTTCTCAGCTCTGACGTTTTAACTCCCACTTGCTTTTAGATCCAGACTGAACAATAAACTGCTGTTGTCCTCGTCTGCTTTTTGTTCCTTGTTTTCAGAAGCTGGCCTGATATAAGTGAGTCTGCTTGCAACTCTGCTTTCTCTTGTGTCTCCAGATTACATCTTCAGTTTCGCCTCCAACGCCACCAAGAAGCTGTCTGAGTCTGTGGTAGGGACCGCTCAGACCATTAAGAAGACGGTGGAAGAGGGGAAGATCGACGGCATCATAGACAAGGCACGGTGTTGCTCTTTTGAGATTTTAAATCTTCCAAGAGAGCCAATTTGAGTTATGTTCTATTTAATGACAGATGTGTCTTTTTTAAGTAATGTGCTTGTAATGATTGGGTACGTTACAATTCCCAGTTACTGGGAAAGGTGAGTTCACGCATTTGGCTCAAATTTCAACAATCAAAAGTCACACATTGGAGATTAGGATCCATTACAAATAAAGTGGGAATTTTATTACAAACTGTTATCTGCATGAGCAACTTTCATGCTAATCTGTTGACTCAAAAGTTGTTTTTGATGACCTGGATTAGGATGACCCAATCCAGACATTAGGAGAAATGTGTGTCTTTTTTTATTCCTCAAAAATTGCACAACTTGTTTGCAACTAATTTGAACTTTATTTCTTTGAGCTGTAACCAATAATGAGTTTCCATTAATCCATCCAACTTTTACCCACTTCTTCCATTTTGGGTCACGGGGGTCATCCGTGCCCATGTCGAGCAATCACTGTGTGAGAGGTGGGGGACATCCTGGACAGGTCGCAAGTCCATCACAGGGACACATGGAGACAAACAACCATTCACTCTCTCACTCACACCTAGGGACAATTTGGAGTTACCAATCAGCCTAACATTCATGTTTTTGGTCTGTGGGAGGAAACTGGAGTACCCAGAGAAAACCCATGCATGCACGGAGAGAACATGCAAACTCCACCCAGAAGTGCCCCTGGACTGGGATTTGAACCGGCAACCTTCTCGCTGAGAGGCAGCCGCTCTACCAGCTGTGCCACCGTGCTGCCAGAGTTTCAATTCTATTTATAAATTTTAATGGTTTTGTAACATTCCTATAATTGTTTATCTTTTTAACAAGTTCAGTTTTTTTGTGACTGCAGACTATTTTAGGAGACTTCCAGAAGGAGCAAGAGAAGTTTGTTCAAGAGAAGAAGGCCAAAAAGTCAGGTAAAGCCATATATGAAGCAAAATTATCTTATCATTATTAGGCAGCGGGGAAATGCCTTACAGCAACACTTTCAAAAACACTAAAATCCCTGCAGACACACTAGATTGTTTTGAAAGTAGAAAAATTGATGTTAAAGCCCTCGGTAAATACAGTGCCTTGCGAAAGTATTCGGCTCCCTTGAACTTTTCAACCTTTTGCCACATTTCAGGCTTCAAACATAAAGATATAAAATGTTAATTTTTTGTGAAGAATCAACAACAAGTGGGACACAGTCGTGAAGTGGAATTAAATTTATTGGATGTCCATCCATCCATTATCTTTACCCGCTTATTCCATTTTGTGTCACGGGGGTCGCCGGTGCCCATGTCCAGCAATCACTGTGTGAGGGGCGGGGGACACCCTGGACGGGTCGCAAGTCCATCACAGGGACACATAGAGACAAACAAGAAAAACAACATTTACTCTCTCACTCACACCTAGGGACAATTTAGAGTTACCAATCAGCCTAACATGCATGTTTTTGGTCTGTGGGAGGAAACCGGAGTACCAGGAGAAAACCCACACATGCACGGAGAGAACATGCAAACTCTACCCAGAAAGGCCCCTGGACCGGGGTTTGAACCAGGGACCTGCTCGCTGAGAGGCAGCAGCTCTACCAGTTGTGCCACCGTGCTGCCTATTTATTGGAGGTGTCAAACTTTTTTAACAAATAAAAAACTGAAAAGTGTGGCGTGCAATATTATTCGTCCCCCTTGCATTAATACTTTGTAGCGCCGCCTTTTGCTGCAGTTCCAGCTACAGTCTCTTGGGATATGTCTCTATCAGTTTTGCACATGGAGAGACTGAAATTCTTGCCCATTCTTCCTGCAAAACAGCTCGAGCTCAGTGAGGTTGGATGGAGAGCGTTTGTGAACACCAGTCTACAGCTCTTTCCACAGATCCTCGATTGGATTCAGGTCTGGACTTTGACTTGGCCATTCCAACACCTGGAAACGTTTATTTGTGAACCATTCCATTGTAGATTTGGCTTTATGTTTTGGATCATCGTCTTGTTGGAAGATAAATCCCAGTCTCAGGTCTCTTGCAGACTCAAGCAGGTTTTCTTCCAGAGTGGTCCAGTATTTGGCCCCATCCATCTTCCCATCAATTCTGACTATCTTCCCTGTCCCTGCTGACGAAAAGCAGGCCCAAACCATGATGCTGCCACCACCATGTTTGACAGTAGGGATGGTGTGTTCAGATTGATGAGCTGTGTTGCTTTTACTCCAAACGTATCATTTTGCATTGTGGCCAAACAGTTGGATTTTGGTTTCATCTGACCAGAGCACCTTCTTCCACATGTTTGGTGTCTCCCAGGTGCTTGTGTCAAACTTTAAACAACACTTTTTATGGATGTCTGAGAAATGGCTTTCTTCTTGCCACTCTTCCATAAAGGCCAGATTTGTGCAGTGTACGACTGATTGTTGTCCTATGGACAGACTCTCCCACCTCAGCTGTAGATCTCTGCAGTTCATCCAGAGTGATCATGGGCCTCTTGGCTGCATCTCTGATCAGTCTTCTTCTTGTTCGAGATGAAAGTTTAGAGGGACGGCCGGGTCTTGGTAGATTTGCAGTGGTCTGATACCCCTTCCATTTCAGTATGATTGCTTGCACAGTGCTCCTTGGGATGTTTAAAGCTTGGGAAATCATTTTGTATCCAAATCCAGCTTTAAACTTCTCCACAACAGTATCTCGGACCTGCCTGGTGTGATCCTTGGTCTTCATGATGCTCTCTACGCTTTGAACAGAACCCTGAGACTATCACAGAGCAGGTGCATTTATACGGAGACTTGATTACACACAGGTGGATTCTATTTATCATCATCAGTCATTTGGGACAACATCGGATCATTCATAGATCCTCACTGAACTTCTGGAGTGAGTTTGCTGCACTGAAAGTAAAGGGGCCAAATAATATCACACTTTTCAGTTTTTTATTTGTTAAAAAAGTTTGACACATCCAATACATTTCATTCCACTTCACGATTGTGTCCCACTTGTTGATTCTTCACAAAAAATTAAAAATTTATATCTTTATGTTTGAAGCCTGAAATGTGGCAAAAGGTTGAATAGTTCAAGGGGGCCGAATACTTTCGCACAGCACTGTATGTTGGTTGCTGCTCAAGTGACCTGCAGACATCAGTTTGTCGTTATGTACTTGCAAGTGGCGGATGGTGAAAATATTTGAAAAAGTTGTCGCTGACTACAATGAATAACTCCCAAATGTGTAACTTGCATGCATGCTACATGTAAGTTGTATTTATTTCAACAATATTTGTAAAAACTTAATTTACCACACTGTTCAAAAGTTTTAAACTGACACTACAGATGCATCTTAAAAAATTTGAATATCGGGAAAGAGTTCAGTTGTTTTTTTCAAACATTTCAGAAAGTGAAACAAATATATAGAGTGAAACATTTCAAGCGTTTATTTCTTGTCATTTTGATGAGTATGGCTTACAAATAATGAAAAAACAAAATTTCAGTTTCTCATATAATTAGAAGATTCCACAGCCAGCATTTGATGTCTTTGTCAGTGTGGGCAGGAGCCAAGTCCTTCTGGAAATTTAAATCAGCATCTCCATAAAGTTCATCAGCAGAAGGAAGTATGAAGTCTCTAAAATGTCCTGGTAGATGCTGTGTTGACTGTGGACTTCAGAAAACACAGTGAACCAAACCATCATTGACTGTGGAAACTTGACTCTGGACTTCAAGCAACATGGATTCTGGACCTCTCCTCTCTACCTCCAGACTCTGAGACCTTGATTTCCAAATGACATGAAAATGTACTTTAATCTGAAAGGAGGACATTGGACCACTGAGCAGTAGTCCAGTTCTTTGTCTCCTCAGCAGGTAAGACACTGACCTCTCTGGTTTAGGAGTGGCTGGACTTGAGGAATGAGACATTTGTAGCTCATGTCTATGAGTCAATCAGCTGATCAGGGTGTGACAACAGGAGTTTACAATATTGAACCTCAACAATATTCTAATTATCTGAGACACTAAATTTTGTTTTTCATTATCTGTAAGCCATAATCATGAAAATTACAAGACATAAAGGCTTGAAATATTTTACTCTGACTTTCTGAAATGATTGACAAATGAAACTGAACGATATTCTAATTGTTTTAGATGCACCTGTAATTTATTTATAATTTGCTTTCAGGTTTAAAATATCATGTAGACTAACAGAGGAACAGTATCTGAATGTCATGTTTGTAATGAAAACACGATACGGAGCCCAAACGAGGCTTCAACTGTATCAATGTTTTGGAGCTAAATGTTTTTTTTAATGAGTCAAACTTTGTCATCGGGTGTTTTTAACAAATTCAACAAAATAAATGTCTTGATGTTTGTAGAAGCAGCGGTGCCTCCCTGGGTGGGCTACAACGAGGAGGAGACAATCCAGCAGCAGATCCTGGCTCTGTCCGCTGTAAGCTTTACGTTGGCTGTTTCTGCCATTTTCACTTTGTTTAATCAGCTCCTTGTCTCAACCCAACACCTCTGGCTGCTGGTTTTAGGACAAGAGGAACTTCCTGCGGGACCCCCCAGCTGGTGTTCAGTTCCACTTTGACATAGAGCAGATGTACCCTCTGGCTGCAGTCATGCTAGAGGAAGACCAACTCCTCAATCGCATGCGCTTTGACCTGGTCCCTAAACAGTAAGAGGTTTTTCTCAGTTCTATGTTTATCGCAGTGTCGTGAGAAAACATGAACTCTGCTGCCAGATCCTTTCAATTCACTAACTAGATGCAGTCAAAGAGATCTTAACGCTTCCATCATGAAATGAGCCTGAGGTCCTTCAAACAGGTCAGAGACAAAGCTGTAGATTATAAAACAATATACAAACCGGATTCCAAAAAAGTTGGGACACTAAACAAATTGTGAATAAAAACTGAATGCAATGATCTGGAGATGGCAAATGTCAATATTTTATTCGTAATATAACAGATGACAGATCAAATGTTTAATCTGAGTAAATGTAACATTTTAAAGGAAAAATATGTTGATTCAAAATTTCACAGTGTCAACAAATCCCAAAAAAGTTGGGACAAGTAGCAATAAGTGGCTGGAAAAAAGGAAATTGTGCATATAACGAACAGCTGGAAGACCAATTAACACTAATTAGGTCAATTGACAACATGATTGGGTATAAAAAGAGCTTCTCAGAGTGTCAGTGTCTCTCAGAAGCCAAGATGGTAAGAGGATCACCAATTCCACCATTGTTGCGCAGAAAGATAGTGCAGCAATACCAGAATGGTGATACCCAGCGTAAAATAGCAAAGACTTTTAAGTTATCAACAACCGTGCATAACATCATCAAAAGATTCAGAGAATCTGGAACAATCGTTGTGCGTCAGGGTCAAGGCCGTAAAACTCTACTGGATGCTCGTGATCTCCGGGCCCTTAAACGTCACTGCACCTCAAAACAGGAATGCCACTGTCAAGGAAATAACAGAATGGGCTCAGGAATACTTCCAGAAAGCATTGTCAGTGAACACAACCCACCGTGCCATCCGCCGTTGCCAGCTGAAACTCTACAGTGCAAAGAGGAAGCCATTTCTAAGCAAGCTCCACAAGCTCAAACGTTTGCACTGGGCCAGGGGTCATTTAAAATGGAGTGTGGCAAAATGGAAGACTGTTCTGTGGTCAGATGAGTCACGATTTGAAGTTCTTTATGGAACACTGGGACGCCATGTCATCCGGACCAGAGAGGACAAGGATAGCCCAAGTTATCAATGCTCCGTTCAGAAGCCTGCATCACTGATGGTATGGGGTTGCATGAGTGCTTGTGGCATGGGCAGCTTTCATGTCTGGAAAGGCACCATTAATGCAGAGAACTATGTTCAGGTTCTAGAACAACATATGCTCCCATCTAGATGTCATCTCTTTCAGGGAAGACCCTGCATTTTTCAACACGATAATGCCAGACCACATTCTGCAGCAATCACATCATCATGGCTATGTAGGAGAAGGATCTGGGTACTGAAATGGCCAGCCTGCAGTCCAGATCTTTCACCTATAGAGAACATTTGGCGCATCATAAAGAGGAAGGTGCAACAAAGAAGACCCAAGACGATTGAACAGTTAGAGGCCTGTATTAGACATGAATGGGAGAGCATTCCTATTTCTAAACTTGAGAAACTGGTCTCCTCTGTCCCCAGACGTCTGTTGAGTGTTGTAAGAAGAAGGGGGGATGCCACACAGTGGTAAAAATGGACTTGTCCCAACTTTTTTGAGATTTGTTGACGCCATGAAATTTGGAAACAACAGATTTTTCCCTTAAAATGATACATTCTCTCAGTTTAAACTTTTGATCTGTGATTTGTGTTCTATTCTGAATAAAATATTAGATCTTGGCACCTCTATGTCATTGCATTCAGTTTTTATTCACAATTTGTTTAGTGTCCCAACTTTTTTGGAATCTAGTTTGTACAAACTGGTTAGAAAATCATATTGTCTGCTTTATTTTGCTAACAGACAAATCGAGTTGAAGCCATTAGTTAACGATGAAGTTTCAAGTGAAGATCTTGAAGATCAAGTAGCACGTGGATTGAGTGTTGGAGATTCACGGCTACAACCACGCTAAATCTTAGCTCAGTATCTACGACTGATTGACGTTCAGCCAATTTTGTACTGGCTAATATTGATTAGCTGTGGTGGCCATCTTGATTGGGTTACTTCCAAAATGTGATCAGTTATAGATACAGTTGTACATCCAATCATTGCTTTGTGAGAGTTCCATTAAACTTGGTTTAGTCATTTGTAAGATATTTTTCTAACAGACAAACAGGATTGACACCAAGAGTTAAAACTCGAGTTTTAGACAGAGTTCTTTTGCAGTGTGTTGCGCTCAGAACTACTGCTACTACTGCCCCAACATTTATCTCAATATCTGTAAAACTGACTGTATGTTTCCAACATTTTTCAGTCAGGTCATTTGGACAGTTTCTTTTTTTGTGCTGAAACGTTTCACCTTCGATCCGGAAGGCTTCATCAGTCAAGGAAACGCACAACAATACTGATTCTTCCCCCAACAGCTTACTCCAAAGTGGAACAAACCAGTTATGTTGGTTCTAAAATGGTTTCTTTGGTATGAAGGAAGGGGGCTGGCAATGGAGGAGGGGGTGTACCAAAGAAGCCATTTTAGCACCAACATAACTGGTTTGTTCCACTTTGGAGTAAGCCGTTGGGGGAAGAATCAGTTTTTTTGTGTTTTCTTGACTGATGAAGCCTTCCGGATCGAAGGCGAAATGTTTCAGCACAAAACAGAAACTGTCCAGATGAACTGACTGAAAAATGTTGGATTGTATACCTGGATTACTGAGCATGGACTTTGTTGACTGTATGTTCGTTTTGTAATGTCAGTTGGCTGTGGCAGCCATCTTGAATCAAGTTGACTCCATTTTTTAATTAATTGGGGACTGACTAGTAAGAGGCAGCACCTATTATTATCCACCTAACAAAGAGTATCTTAACTTTATATCTTACTCTTCCGTCAACTTTAATGTGACCCGAACTGCAACGTGTACCCCCACAAATGTCTAAATCTAAGATGGCTTCCAAAGCTACATTTAAACAGCTTTAACTCAACTATTTTCACATATATAGAGTTGAAATTTGGTGAGGTTGTAGCTAAGAACGTTACCCATCACATGCTAAACCCAAATCAAAAATCCAAGATGGCCGCCTTAGGTTAAAAGGGAAAAAAATATGGTAACTCAACCATTTTTAGAGCTACTACGCTGAAATTTGTTATAGTGGTAGCTGAGTGCGAACCCAAACACATAGTACTGTCAAATCAAAATTATAAATTTGCGGCAGCCTGGCAGTCCCTGTCCAAATTTCTCCAGGAACTTTCTAGTTGTAGATGTTCATCCAATGATTACTTTCTAAAACGTTCATTAAAATCCGTTCAATAGTTAAATATATATTTTGCTAACAGTCCATACAAACACAAACATGGACTCCACCTTCTCCTTCAGTGCTGGTCAGTTAAAAAAATCTCCCCTATAGTGTTAACCCAACTCTACAAAGAATTTATCTACAGCATCCAGATGAAAGTGATTTATGAAGTGGATCCTGATGTGTTCGTGTTCGACAGAGTGAAGGAGGATGTGTTCTGGAGGAACTACTTCTACCGGGTGTCTCTGATCAAACAGTCGGCCCAGCTCACAGCGCTGGCAGCTCAGCATCAGCAGAAGGACGTCGTGGACAGCGGGGCCGGAGTCTCACCTGATGACATCGTCTTAAAAGGTCCAACTTTTTACAGAACAGTTGCAGCATGAAGCGCAGACAGGCTGCGGTTAGTTTAAAGCAGCAGTGAAAGATGTTTCTCATCTGTTTGAAACCCATTCAAACAAATGATGGTTAATAATAAGCAAGCATTTAGCTTTAATGTGGGGAACAAATGATTTTGAATAATTATTCTGGTTTCTCAGGAATATTGTACATCATTACTTCTGTCTTGCTGGCATTCATTTGTAGTCCAATCTCTTGAGCTGCCACTTCTAGGTGCGTTAAAAAGATTTTCTTATCAGAAACTGTTCAACAGCAGAAAAAGGTCATCTGAAACGTTAGTCTCAGTGATGTTTTCTGGATGGTATTGTCTCCTGGTAATAGTGTAAAGTCAAGATGTTCATGGTCTTGTAGGGTACACCTCATTACGTAGTCCACCACAATAATAAAAAGGTGTGGAGCCAGTGTGTCTCCTTGTAGCACCCCTGCTAGGACCTCAAAAAATTCTGTTTCATGAACGGCAAACAACACTTTGGTCGATGTGTTATACATGATGTTTATGGCCTGGACTATTTTTTCAGGAATGCCACAGGCTCGTAGTATTTTGATCATTTTCTTTCTGTCAACTGAATCCAAAGCTTTATTGAACATCACAAATGTGAAAACAGCTGATAGGTTCTTTGACTTGATGGCATCAGTGATTCATCCAAGAGTGAGAAGCTGTTAAGTTGTAGAGCGTCCTTCTCTAAAACCATTTTTGTTGTTGATTAATATTAGATCAATGTGTGCCCACACTCTTTTGAGTAGCATTTTGTTGTAGAGTTTAGCTGCATTTGGAAAAACTCTGTAATTATCTGGGAGATTTTAGCTATTTTTGGAGATCGGGACTATACCACTTCTGGACCAGATCTCAGGTTTGTTGTCATTAAAAGTTTTATTGCAGACTTGTAGCAGCTGTTCTTTTAATGCCCCAATCTTCTACATTTCACCCAGAACACCATCCAAACCAGCTGCCTTGCTGTTTGGTAGCTCAGGTGTGACGTCATGGGTGCATATCATGGGAAGCTCACTAGTTATGATGGTATTGGGTTAAATGAAGCATTGGTTCTTGGAGATTTTGTAGGAGCAAGAAGCTTTCCAAAGGGACTTTTCCACAGGTTCACACTGTTGGAATGTTTAGAAGAAACAGTTGTTTAATATTGTTAGTTTTAATACTTTTTAATGTATTTGTCCTAATTATTTATAGTTTTTTTTCCATATATTTGAATAGTTGAATTGACCAAGAACTCACTGTCTTGACACCATCAAACAGGATACAAACGTGGCATTTGCCGAAATAAAAGAAGCTGTATATGATCATCAAGGGTGGAGAACGTTGATCCATCGAGTGATCGAGAATCGACCATGATTGAACGGATAGTGGTAGTAGTAGAATAGTTGAATAGTTTAGGTTTAAAAAAGTTGATTTTCATCCAGTTATCATTAAATAAATCCCTTTTCAGAACCCAAAGTAAAACCTCATCCTGCTTTGAATATAATCTACGGTTTTCATTCTTCTAAATGCCTTTAGAGTGATTTCAGAGATCAGTGGGAAACAACTGGCGTATGACATGAAAACTAATTACAGTTTTTATTACTTTTTGTAGACGTCAGACCAAAAACACCACCAGTTTCCATCAGCAGCTTGAAAAAGGTAAAATCACGTCACCGTCCGGTCTTCTCAACAATCAGAGCCGGTCCGGTGGTTTCCCTTTTTTTAATCTTCTTTATGAAAATTTCAGCCGCCTCATGAGGAAGAAGAGGAAATCTCAACGAGCCCCGGGGTTTCTGAGTTTGTAAGTGATGCTTTCGACGCCACAGCCATCAACCAGGAGGACCTGAGGAAAGAGATGGAGCAGCTGGTGCTGGACAAGAAGGACAGCACCCCTTCCCCTGATGGTCCGCTTCATTCACTTTTTATTGGCTTTTATTCTGAAGGGGGGGGGGGGGGGGGGGCAAAAATGGCTGTAAATATAAAACTGCTCTTTTTAAATTGAGTCAATGTTTCTTTTTAACTCTTCATCGTCCCCTCACTCTCCAGTCCACTTCCCAGACGAGCCAGCAGACTGGGAAAAGGAGCTGCAGCAGCAGCTTCAGGAGTACGAGGTCGTGACGGAGGCGGACAACAAGGACGACCAGTGGGATCAGGAGATCGAGAAGATGCTCCAGGCTGATGATGACAGCTAGAAAACAATCGTTTGTTGCCTTCACAAGTAATGCCGTGGTCTCTAATGGAGAACCAGTGAAAAAGTTGGGAGAAAACCATCCAAATCCTTCCTGATGAAGTCGTAGATCCAATCATAGTGCGAGCGCAGCTGCTGGAGGCGGCAGTTACATGCAAGAAAATTAGTGAAGTACTACCTTTTTAAATCCGTTTCATCTACTTATTCTTCTCCAACTTCTGTCTTCTGATGAGTCGAACCTCTGGAGGGCGCTCCAGTTTTATAAAGGAGGGGATTTGGTCTGTTCGAAGTTCATCTTTGCTTCCACATGGTTGGTTGTACAGTCACGTACTGATATCAGTACAGTCAACTCTTAACGTATGTAAATAAAGAGGGTGATACTGGAGGTTTCATTATGTTCATTAAATCTATTTAATCTCATTTTCAGTTTTTGTCAACATCGTTGTTTCTCTGTAGCTGCATTGTACGTTTGTCTTTACTTATTTACTTTAATAAACCTTTATGATAATATGGAACGCTGTGCATCTTATTTAACGTGGGAAGAACATCCAGAGGAACGAGCGTCAAAACAGATCAGTGGGATTTGTCCAAAATTTGCACTAATCTGCACGTGTCACCGCTGCAGCTCCTGTTGCGATATGAATTTAAAAAATACAAACTTCCTAGTATCAGTGTAGAGAGAGGGATGCAGGTTTGAATTGGGTTTTAGCTTATTTGTAATGAAAAATCAATTGGCAAATTCATTCTTTGTGCATTTGTGCTCTTTTTTTAATATACTTAAAAAATGGATCACCTGGGGAGAAGGCATTATCCACTGATTTAAATATTTACAATTGGCCAAATAAGACCTTTACAAGAACCTGTGTGATATTTTCACCAGTGCTGCTGTTTTTATGTGCCAGTCAAACTTAAGTTTTAGTGTTTAAACTAATTTATACTGTAAATAAGTTATGAATATGCTTCAATAATCCAGGTAAAAAGCCAACAAAGTTCAGCCAAGTCATCTGGACGGTTTCATTGTTTTTGCTGAGATGTTTAGTCCTTCATCCAAAGGACTTCTTCAGTCTGAGGAGCCACAAACAAACTGATTCCTACAAACAGCACACTTCCATAGTGGAAAAAACAAAACATTTTGCTGGTGATAAGATGGTTTCTGGGGCACGCCCTCTCCCCCGTCAACTCCTCTGAGGCAGCCATGCCAAAGTGGTTCAAAACATCGAACTGTTCAGAGGACCTTACTGAATATTGTTGGGATTTTTTTAAATCTGGATTATTGAGCATGAATGTTGATGTTGTGAACCACTTTGACATGACTGCCTCAGTGGAGTTGATGGGGGAGAGGGCATGCCCCAGAAACCATCTTACCAGCAGCAAACTGTTTTTTATCCACTATGGGAGTGTGCTGTTTGTGGGACTCAGTTTGTTTGTGGCTCCTTGGACTAATGAAGTCCTACTACTAATATCCATCCTATTAAGAGCAAACAAAGCCTTTCACTCCCAGACTGCAGGTTTACTTGTGGTTCCCAGAGTTTCTAAAAGTAGAACAGGATGCAAAGCTTTCAGTTCTCAGACTCCGCTCTGGTGGAAATGACTTCCGGTTTCTGTCTGTGAGGCCGACACGGTCTACTTTTAAGATTAGGCTTAAGACTTTATTTTTTGATAAATCCTATAGTTAGGGTTGGCTTTGGTTTTCTGAGCTATCCCTTAGCTTTTCTGCTCCTATAGACTTGGATTGCTGCAGGACAGACCACATTCTGCTGCTGTCTTCACTCCCTCTACTCTCCATGTTTGCATTGCATTTACAATTGTTGCATCATTACTCAAATATTATCTGGTTTTATTCCCATAGAAACCACACCTAGACCTTTTGTGGTTGTCTGTGTCCCGTCCCTGTCCTCTCAAACCCCTGCTGCTGAGGCAGATGGGAGCCTGGTTCTGCTGGAGGTTTCTTCCTATTGAAGCGGAGTTGTTCCTTTTCACTGTCACCAGTGTACTGCTCAATATGAGGGGTGCAGTGAACTGAAGGTTTAAAGCAATCTGACAGTTTCCTGTCTTAAAGATTACTATAGCAGTTTGTAACATAGTGGCACTGTTTGTGTTATGATTGGATTCAATAGGATTTATGATTTAAACTTGATAGTTCTTTGTACATTGCTCTGATGTTGTTTTTTGTTGTGAACTGGTGCAAAATAAATCAACTAAATGTAATAGTTCTTGTGGAAAAGGTTTAAGAGTTATCTTTGTTGGTGTCTTTTCTTATTCAGTTGATTTTAAATTCTGGGGTATTTGGACACCTTGGAAAAATTGAAAGTTGTTTTGTTAATAAGTCTCGAGGCAATCTTCAAACGAGAAACTAATGTCTTTAAACAACATCTGCTTTTACAGCACTAACAACAAGTTTCCTGCCACATCTGAGGTGGAGCTGAGAACAGATCACAGAGGGGCAGAAAGTCTTACAACTGTGTGAGTCAGGCAGTGTGGGATGATGGTCTGTTTGGCTTGTCGAGAGTCTGTAATCGTGTAAAAGTAGACAAACGCATAACTCTGCTTGTTCCTGCCAGACAGGCAGCAGGCCAGCCTCAGCATGCCCCCCTCTACTCTGCAGAGCTGCAAACACAAGTCTGGAATGTCTGCATTGCTTACTACAGGAACAAATCAGTGATTAAATACTCATTGGCAAGTGACAATCAATACAAAGATCAATACCTCGACACGGTGTGTCCAAGAGCTATTTCTCTCCTCTTGGGTTCAAAAGGAACGAAGAGCAGGTGGGTTAACGAATGGAAACGGGGGGATGGGGGACTCCTCTTTGTTTTGTTGCTCATTCTTCTCCAGGTGCACGACACTGCACTCCACAGCATCACAGCCAGGGACCACCAGCTGCTGTCCTGGAGAACTGGCAGCTATCACCATGGCAACGCCGTGGGAACAAAGCCCACAGAGGAGGACCCATGTGTGTGCTTTATTGTCTGCGCGTGATTTTGGTTTAACAGGGTTTTAATAATGCATGGAGGTCGACCTGTGTGTGTGTGCCTTTGCATTTGTTACCTTGTAAGAACCATTTTTCCAACACATTAATTCAACCTTACTACTTGTGAGGACTAACATGTCCTTATGGGGCCGAAAACCTGGGCCCCTAAGGGCCTAAGTACCATTGGTGGGTTAAGTGTTAGTTTTAGGGTTAGGTATGTACTAGTAATGTTAGGTTTAGGGTTAGGTATGTACTAGTAATGGCTAGGTTTAGGGTTAGGTATGTACTAGTAATGGTTAAGTTTAGGGTTAGGT